GGGAGACGGTGCTGTTTTGTTTATACAATCAGTTGGCAACCCGCACACGAATGCCGCCGCGACGCCACGCTGCGCCACCGAGAGGGCGGAAGAGAGAAGGCGGCGTGAGACAGAAGCCGCGCTCTCTTCCTCTCTTTCTGCTTTCTCTTCTCTTCGCTGCGGGGCTCCACAGCAATTTTAGGCGGATGGGTCGCCCTCGACGTGTGTGCGCCGCGCGGACGACTAACGATGCACCACCGGTGGGAGCGCAGAGTGCTCTCCCGGAGGCATACGCGGGGCGGCGGGGAGAGTCGGGCGCCAACCCGACCCTTCGGCTCAAAAGTCACCAACAAGGCCGGGGCTCGCCCTCCGCTCGGCCTGGCCGCGGTAACGTATGCACATTATTTATTGTTATCGTCGTTATTTTGTATAAATAGGGCAGAAAAAGTAGTGGAGCTGTCGAGCAGATGATTTCCATTGCGGGGTGGAACAGACGGCACCGGGCGCGGGCGGCGAGCCGAGCGGCGCAGGCGAGATCTGTGATAAGGTCGGCACCTTGGCGTTCTGTTTCATTCCGCTAAGTACTGCCTGTTTGCACGAGCCACTCATACATTATTCACGGTGCAAGTGCTGTGAGTGTGTGTGTGTGATAGAGAGAGAAAGAGGAGGGGGAGGGGGTTGTTTGCGTGCGTGCGTGCTCGACTCGCTCTCCTCGGGCAGAGCCGCGCCGGGGATCGAACCTGCGCCCCGATCTCGTCAGTCTCTCGCGCGGCAGCATCCCCGCACCACGCCCCTTCAAAAACTCTCCTCCTTGCCGATCGTCTTCTCCTCTGTGATTGATGAAGTCTCATCCGATCGCTTCCGACGTGAGAGATGCCCCCAGTTTTAGCGGGTGCTGCTGCGCGCCGGGGGCGGGGGAGCGGCCGAGAACGCCCCCATACGGGCGGGGCCGCCGCGGGTGGAGGGAGAGCCCCTCCATCTGCTCTTCTTTTTGCCCCAAACGCAACCGCCAAATTTGTGTCGCGAGTTTTTGTTCGTCCATCAAAGCGCGGCCGCTCCGCCCCTCCCGCCCATCTCTGTCTTTCTCTTTCTCTCTCTCTCTGCTCTCTCTCACTCGCTCTTTCCTGCCGGTCATCATTCTTCCTCTCGCCTCGCATGGGGGCGCCGGGTCGGGCGGGTCGCCATGGCGGCCACACGGCGGGGCGGGGCGGGGTGCGCACCCCGGGGGCGATAGTCGGACGGATATCCTGGGGCAGGGCCAGTGGTGCGTAGTGCCATGGGGCGCGGGGACAGCGCGCGGGGGTGAGGGGGTTAAATGTGGGCTCCATGGGGGCCATGCATACCGGGGGCGTGGCGCGGGGTGCGGCGCGGCGAGGACCGCAGCTGCCGATGGGAAGTCCGCGTCCAGCAGCGAGGAAGGGCCGAAGTGCGCTGAGCGGCGCTGAGGCAAGCACATCGGGTTTCAATCTCGTGGCTGCGGGGCGGGGCCTGACGCGGCGTGCCCGCCTTGCAGCGCTGAGACTGGGGCTGCGGAGGTCCTCTCTCAGCACAGTGGTGGAGTCTCCGAGGGACTTTGGCGGTGCAGGCAGGCGACTCTTCCGCACGCCATCCGCTCACTCTGGCCGGCGCCAGGCGTCGGTGTGTGAAAACGACCAATGGCGTGGCGCGGCCGGTCGGCCAGCACGCGTGTGATTTGCATTATGGTGTGCGAGCCGGCCGCCCCGCTCTACCCCGCCCCACCGCACTTCTTGTTTACTCCTTCGGCCCGCCCCCGCCTTGGTGACGCAACGTCGCCAATAAAAGCGCGCATTTGGGCAGCGGGCGCCGGCGTCTCGCTCGCCCGGCGTCTTCTTTGTGCGACTAAATTAGGGAAACTTTTTTATCAAATCCGGGGAGGGATGGAGACCGAGGGGGATGCCCCTCCCGATGACTGGGCCGGGGCCACACCGCCCGGCCCGCCCTCTGTGATGGCCGTCGGGTCGGGTCGGCGGGGGCGAGGGCAGCGCTGCCCAGGGATGTGTACACACGGCCCGCAAGACGGCGGCGGCCGCCCTCCCGATGGGCCCCGAAAACTTTCCTCGTTACATTTTTGCAAACACTTATGATTCGGCAATAAAATCCAACTACATTTTGATGATGGAAGTTTCCCCCTGCTCGCTGCGGCGGTGGTTA